GGTGTGAGGGATGGTCTTAGAGCAGACATCTCCCAGTGTGGTAAAATCTATGATCTTAGCACTTGGGAGGCTGAAGCAGGAGGATCAGGAGTTTGAGACCGCCCTGGGCTGCAGTACAGGCCTTTGCTGATATACATTCAGCAATACCCGGGGTTTCCCCCAGGAAACTGGGAATCACTGAGCCTAGTCAGTCTATTTGGTGCGCCCTTTGAACGTCAGTCACTCTGGTAAAGGTGTTAGGCTCCAACAACTGATTATATTTTTCCCAATGCCTGCACTCTGGTCAACAAGATGGTACTTTCTGGGATCTGGGGATGGCTGCAGTCAGCCTTTCTGCAACTGGTGGAGGTGAGTTTCGACTCCTCTGTCTGGGGTACTCTTTCCTCATGCTAATAAGGCCTTGCACCCCATTCTCATAAGCATTGCTGGTCCTTGGCACTCTCATGTCTGGGTGTTTGTGTTCACACTGGTCGCTGAAGATGCTGGTGTCAGTACCCGGGGGTGGAGACGATGAGGTGGGCTGTCACTCACAGCTGTGGTAGCCTGAACAAAGCTCCCTTCGGTTTGGGCTCACTGTCCACTCTAAAGGCTCCACGGCCGGCCAGGTCTCCTGAAGTGTGTGAGCACTGCAGGGGTGGCGGCTTGGAGATCGGGGTGGGATCCTTATAACTCCTAACCCCATGACTCACGGTCAGCTCTAGCTCCTGGCCTTGGCCACCTCTACCCTGTCTGGTGTTTCAGAACTCACACTCTGGAAGTTGAGCGCCCTGTTTCTCCACAGCCGCCCCTTTCACCAAGGGTACCACATATACCTGGCCCTGGCTTTCTTGTTCTGTGCTACCCACGCATATTCACCACCAAAAGTCATCACCTGAGTTTGTTCCCCGCTCCCTAATGGTTCAGGGACACTATTGATCTTCCATTTCTCTATTCCTTCTGTAAATACCCAGAAAAGGGAAATATTGCTCTGGGGAAGCCATCTCGCATGGAAATGCATAGTGTGAAGCACACTGTGGTTATCCAACCAGGATCAAAGTCTGGCAGAGATCCCACAGGCAAAGTGATTGGCAACAAAGCCTTTCCTACCAAGCAAACAGTCTGGAAAGGAGAGGAATGGGCATATTTTAAAGATGCTGTTCTCAGACAAAATGGAACTGCTTTCAACGGACGTTTCAGGTGAGACACATGGAATACACCCTCTCATCCTGCAGGGAGGTATACAGTCACCAAGTGCCAGTGCATCACACTGGTCCAGTAATGGGAAACGTGCCAGCAGGATGCGGAGTAGCTACTTTACCACAGGAAACATCTGCTTCATGGTCACTGAGGAGTATAATGGTTTTACTGGGTGTGTTGCTGGGGGCTGGGCTTCCATTATGGATGAGAGAGACAATCTGAACTATTCATAGAACTTCCACTGAGGACACGGCCTGCCTCAGGATTCCCCTCCCTACTCTTTGTATACACAGCCTCATAGGGAATTCTCCAAATGTTTGAGAGAGCAAGCAGATGTTCTCACAAACCCACTAGCAATGCTCCAAGGAGCCTCAAGCCTGGTTTTAAACATCCACACGAACAAATTCAACATTAGAAAGGGCAGCCAAGGTTAATGCCTCAGAAACTCAGTGTGAGAGTCATCCAGAGGACAAGGCAGCTCATAGAACCAAGTCATTCATGTTTATCAAATGATTTCTGAACGCCGCTTTGTTTTGTATGTGTATGTACATGGATACATGCATGTCACAGCATGCATGTGGAAGGTGGGGGAAGCCAGAAGTTGGTTCTCTCTTTCTACCAATTATATATATTCCAGGGAAAGAATTCGCTTTTCAGGTTTGGTGGCAAGTGCCTTTGCCCATTGAGCCATTTTGCCATCCCAACCGTTTGTTTTTAACTCTGCTTCTGGGAGCTGATATTCTACACGTCTGAAAATGATGATACAACGTTATCAATGAAGACACAGGCTACTTATTATTTTCACAGCTCTAGGGTGACTCAGATAATCGGGTACTCCTGCTTACACTGCTGACTTAGCACAGAGCAGGGTGCTGGCTGCTGTGCCCAAACTCCAGCTTATAAAGAAGAAAGGCTTATTTTAGGTCATGGCCCCAGATTTCAGTTCACAGCTGCTTGGCTCCTTTGTATTAGAGCCTACAGGAAGCCCAAGCATCAAGGTAGAAAGACGTCAGATCACAGCTTATTACCTCACAGTAACCTAGGAAGTGCAAGGGAGACAGGAAGGTACCAGAGCTCTAGTGTTCCTTTCAAGGGTGTTCCCCCAATGGTCTAACTTCTTCCTTTAGTCCACACTCCTGAAGGTCCAACTCCCAGAGTTCTATAGTGAGCTAAGCATGCCTTTAGTATAGGATCTTTGGGATCATTCGATGTCCAAAGAGCAACATACTGAGTCACCTTGGAGGATGTTCACTGCCTAATCCAAAAGCCACGTGGCAGACAGAGGTACTAGAGTCAGAAGCCCTCGGGGGATGTCTATGCTCGCCATGCCCAGTCCGCTAGGCAGCAGCCTTCATGTCTGCCTCTCCATGGCATACTGCTTCCTTATCTCAAGGGACCATGATGCCTTAGGGGTTTAGGTCCGTAACCATAGCCTGCCTTGCCTCACTCGGCAGTAGGAGTGGGTTAGGGTGCAGCTCGCCATTGCAATCCCCGATGAACTGGAATGCGAAGCTTACTTTGTAAAGGGGGTATCCATTTGTTCTCAGGGGCTGACCACCTCTAATGTGATAGACACAGGCCCTGGGGCTTCCAGCTCCTCCCTCACCATGGTATGTGGCAGACATCACAAGTCAATCCCCACGACATCCCCAACAGAGTCCTCATGACCTGTGTGTTCACTGAGCCTGGACTTGGCCCAGAATCCCACACATTTTCAGTCCTATGTCCAGCTACTTATCTCCAAGTGGGACTGGTCTTCCAATCCCTGATTTAGTACTTTTGTTTGCTAATTATTATTATTAGAATGTGTGTTGTGCTCATATGTATAGGTATGGTGCATAACTGGAGGTCAGAGGTGGACATTGGTGGCCATCTTCAAGCACATTGCACCTTATTTTTGAAACTCACTCTGTAGACCAGGCTGGCCTCAAACTCAGAGATCCTCCTGCCTCTGCCTCTGTGTGCTGGAATTAAAGGCGCACCACCATTGCCCAGCCTACTTCGCTTTCTTTAATGAGATCTATTTGTACCCACTGGTCTCTTATTCTGTATCTAACACCAAGGTCTATTCCCTTATTTTGCCACTTCTTCTTCTGGAGGCTGACCACCAAGGTCCAGCTACCAAAATATCGAAGTCCAGCAATCAAAAGTCCCATTTGATTCACCTAATTAACATGCCCAATTAAAATTAAACACCTCATCACTTTATCCTAGCATGGGGTTTCCCCCTTTACTTTTACAAACTGCCATTTGCCTGCGGACTAAACTGTAGCATGGTTATAATTGACTTAGCAGCTAATATCCACTCATTAGCTGAATTAATACCATATTTCTCTTTCTGGGTCTGGATTACCTCACTCAGGATGATTTTTTTCTAATTCCACTCATTTGCTTTTGGTAACTAGAATCCCATAGGGGACAGATTCATGAGGTGGGCATTGACCCCCTAAAATTGGAACTGGGCTTGCTCAGGACTAGAAAGTGTTAGCACATACTGTAGCGCCACAGTCTGGACACCCCCAGTCATCAACAGAACTGGGAAACTGAGTTCCTACTGTAGGCACCTGTCTGAGAAGCCCAGGAGTTGGGTCTTGGCACAGGCTTCAGGGAAACTAACGTGCTTTAGAAAGCCTGCACCAGGACCACCTTCATCTTGGAAGACCGTTGGGGGCCTTTGCTTTTCACATGTTTCTGAGCTGTGCAGGAGCCAGCAGGCTATGTAGGACACTGCCACATAAAATCATCCCCTCTACCTATGATTTCTGGGACTGCCATTTTAGCCAGAGAGGGGGCTGCTCTCGATCTCAGCCCCCTCCTTTAGCACACGTACCTGCCCTTGAGGGGATCGCAATAGACCTAGCTCTCCGAGACTTCTTTGTGTAGGACCATATTTATTGCTCACCTGCTAAAGGGTTCAATCATTCCAGCAGACAAGAACAAGATGCAAAGACATTTTCTGCAATCACTTGTTCAGTGTTCTGGTTGGTGTGATAAAGACAAAACACTTGCAGACGGGCCAGTGAGACAACTCAGCAGACAAAGCGCTTGCCGTTAGCCTGACAGCTCGAGGCCTAGTCCTAGACCTCACGTGGTGGAAGGAGAGAATCAACTCCTTAAAGTTGTTCTCTGACCTCTACCTGTGCATCACTGTACACATGTGCATACAGGGACACACACACACACACGAAGATCACTTGTGTGCTTGGGATCAACAAATTGGGCTTTAAGAACTTGCATTTTATATTTCTGTGGCTCTCTGTATAACCCAATCCTCGATATTGGAAAGCTAGATCTTGGGACTGTTTTATCATTTTTATATGACAGTACAGGTGCAGTTATGTGCTAGGTATTCTACGTAGCTCAGAGCTTACCATTTTTTTTTTATAGCTTCATGAGATTGTCCTCCAGTGGTTTCTTTTTTTTGATTTTATTTATTTATTGTGTATACAGGGTTCATGCCTGCATGCCAGAAGAGGGCACCAGATCTCATTATAGATGGTTATGAGCCACCATGTGGTTGCTGGGAATTGAACTCAGGCAGGACCTCTGGAAGAGCAGGCAATGTTCTTCACCTCTGAGCCATCTCTCCAGCCCCACTGTTCTTTTATGGACAATGCGAGGTGAGATGTAGGTCAGCACAGAGACCCCACCCCCATGAGCTTTTGTCTTTGCAGCAAATGTGGTGAATGCGGTCCTGCCTCAAAAGTAGTGTCCCTGGTCCCCAGTCCACGATGATCCCATCACACCCATCTGGTCCCACAATGTGCTCCTGGCTGCAGACCTCAGCATCCACCTGAGATGGGTGTGAGGTGATGACCACTCACCTTCGCACTTGAGCAAGAAGAAGTCCATGTTATGGCTGAAGGATGCGCTGAAGTAGGTGCAATTCTCCACGAGGTCGCAGGACAGACACTGCCTGTTGAAGTCATCGACTGTGTTGGCGCTGGAAGAACAAAGGGCCAGTGAGAACCGAGGCAGGGAATGAGCACTAGCAGGGTCCTCTCCTCTGAGGCTACAGTGTCACTCCTGCTGCTAACCCCTTAAGTTTACTCCCGTCAGCATCCCGTGGATACCTAACTCCACGTCCTAGGAGCCTTCCTAACTCACATGCCCTCCAGACTCTGGAGACCTCTCAGTCCTTCCAGTCTCGGATGGCAGCTATTTGACCACCAGTGAAACTGCAGGCTAGGTGTGACCAAGGTGTAGGGACTACAGTTAAGGATGCCACTGCCCAGTCTGGTTATGGGTACTATCACACGGTCAAGGTACCATTCGTCATCTTGTGGGAGTCACGGTTACTATCAACTGGTGCTGTCACGGGTACCCTCACCTGACGGTGCTGTGGGTACTGCCCCAAGGAAGCTGTGAGAGCCATCACTTTGAATAATCAGTCTTAGGTGCCTACAATGGTCATGGACACGATCACAGAGAACTTTCCACCCATGTGAGTGGCACTTCGGGAACGGTTTTGACTTCCACATTCCTTCAGTGCCAAGTGCAATGGGAAGGAGCTCTGTGAACGTCAAGTGCAATGGGAAGGAGCTCTGTGAACGTCAAGAAACTAGTACTGATTGCATCTAGAACGCAGTTCTGACAGCGGAAGGGTGGCGATGCTGCTTCTTGCTTGAGAATGACGGGAGTGAGAGGAAGCAATTGAAGATGCTGCCTGGGACCACCACGGTCAGGTTTCATCTAGATCGGAAAGTTCCTCTCTAAGCATATCTTTCAAGGGGGAGCTGCACCGCCTGAGACTGAAGATGTCATAGGAGACAGGTCCCAGGGAAGGGGCAGCAGGCTGCCTTCCTGCTTTTTATAAAGGGGGCAGCCTGACTTTCATGACCATAGTAGGCCCAGAGCGGTGAAGTCCACAGAGAGCAGCAGGTCCATGATCGCAGGGCCCTGCCCACTCATGCCAGCCTTAAACTCAGCATGGAGCCCACTGGCTGGAGGGGAGACCTCTGTGTGCTGGGGACTTCTCTAGCCTCTCTGGTCCATACTGCCCGATGCTCCTCCCAGTGATCTCTGGGAGCATCTGGCTGCAGCTCTTCTAGTTACGAAGTGTCTAGAAACACCCATTGTTCCTCCTCCTCTCCCTGGTAGGAATCAAGTTTACCTCTCCCATGAGGTCAGTAAGAGGCGGTTAACAGGATGCACTATCGAGACAGTGACCCTAGATTTGGTCCCTTTCTGGGTTCCAAGCTTGTTTATCCAGGTTCTACATCATTTGGGGTCCTGGAACTTGGGCATGGAGGGGGATGGCAAAGCCAGTCTCCTCTCTACTCAGTCACTGGTGGAGTCCCAAACCAGATGCAGCTGTCCTCAAAACACACTGATGGGGACAATCTGCCAAGGTGACACTTGAATATAGAAGCAAGACAGGCAGAGTCCTTCAAGAGGAGAAAAGAAGTGTGTGTGTGTGTGTGTGTGTGTGTGTGTGTGTGTGTGTGTACCAATTTGGCCAAAGCAGAAATAGGACTTGAGGCCTTGGGCCGGGTGGCTTCTGCACGTTTCTCTCTCCATACTGTCTAGTTACTCAGCTGCCCTTGCTGTCTCCTATCTGTAGAGGAGCTGAGAGACAGTGAGGCCAGAAGGCCTCTGCCGGCCTGGGAGTCAGTTACCTGTAGAGCTGTCGTCTCCGCGGCAGATCCTCTGTGCTCAGGAAATAGCTGTGGAGATGGGGAAGACAGACATGGTTAGCTTGCCTCAGGGCACATCTGCAGGTCACAAGCCCTACCCCGGCACCTTCACAGTGTCTCTCAGGGAGTGTGACCCACGTAAAGGGCAGTGCTCACGTCAGGCCTGGGCACACTCATGACTACAGCAGGGGAAGGCCAGATGCTACAGGCAGAGGGACAAGCTGTCAGCATCAGGTACCTCCTGTGCTGGCCATGGTCCCAGAGCTCTTGGTCATGTGCAGCAGTGAGGGCAGTGGCAGTTTACAACTAGGTATGAACATGGGTCAGTAGACACCTAGATGTGAACATGGGTCAGTACACACTTAGATGTGAACATGGGGTCAGTACATACCTAGATGTGACCATGGGTCAATACAAACCTAAATATGAACATGAGTCAGTACACACTTAGATGTGACCATGGGGTCAGTACACACCTAGATGTGACCATGAGGTCAGTACACACCTAGATGTGACCATGGGGTCAGTACACACCTAGA